TTTTTGCTTACATGGAACAAAGACTAAAAGACTGATAAGTGTTTATTTTTAAAGAAATACAAATGGTGTGAATTAATCCATTAGAGTTGGCTTTTAATCCAAGAATATGAATCAATTCACTCTTCTATGCAGAATAAACTTTTCTCCAGCGATAACTCACGAATGGTATAGTTCGCATTTTGGCTCAAATTATCATAAATTGACAATAATATACGAATAAAATAAAGTCTTGCAAATGCATACATGTTAACTGTTTATCCTCGGCAGCAAAGTGCCGCCATGACGCATTAGCCACTCCTTGCAAAGAGTTTCCTTCCTTTTCCTTTTCCTTTCGCTTTCAGTTTTATCCACGGTGCACAGCAGTAGTTTTGTTAGTTTTCTTATTCAACAATATATCATGGCTTGCTTGTGTTTTGAATAATTTAGAGATACGTTTCTTTTTTTTTGCATTTTAAAAACGATTTTGCCAATGTAAATCGTGAAATGCAAAAAGTGCTAGCACAAGCAACAGTCCCAGCATGAGCAACACGAGAGTCACTTGCATGTTGCAGCTGCTGCTACCCTGGAGCGAGGGAGCAGCTGCAGGAGAGAGGGTGTCAGCTAGTGAAATAGTTGCATAATGATGTCTACGATAAATTCTACAAATCCTCGAAACAGTTTATACTAGTTGCCTCGCCTTGCATTGTCCTTGTCCCTTTTTGCCTTTAGTTTTATTTCATTTGGGTCCGTACTAAGAGCCTGAGACTTGAGGACGACGTGGCTGTGGCAACCTTTAAAATATTTTCGCAATTTATTTGGAAAATACACTGTTATACACACTCTCACACACACAGAGACTACTCGCACATGCTTATACACTTAACTGCGCTCACATATGCAAAATAAAGTGATTACAAAGACGGCACACACAGACATTAGCCATCACCTAGGCTGAGATGGAGACGAAAACTGTAGGCAAGCTCCGCTGCCTGCTGTGAAGGGAACACAGAAGGGACACAGAGAGCTCATGCATGTTTATGTTATAATGCACTTGCATGGAGACAAGCAAATTTCATTTACATAAACATACTCACACGCATGCCCATATATGTATGTGTATGTGTGTGTCGATTTGTTTGCATGTTGGCGTGTCTGCAAATTTTGCAACCAAATATTTACGCATAATAGTGTTCATTATTCTATCCTTCTTTCTGTACTTGTTGTTTTTGACAGCAAAATTAAACGATTTTTAAATGTATAAAATATTAGCAGAGAAACAAAGAAAGTAAATAAAGTTATAAACACTTTTAGACTTTGGATTACCAACATCTTCGATTGTGTGTGCTAATAATGTGTAGGAAAAAAGTAAAATTAAATGATATTTTTTGTACTTGTTTATGTGTGCCCTGAAGCTCTATCTATAAGATTAAATAATAATATTAGTTTAAGCGGCTTATTTTCGTATTATTTTATTTATTCGAATAGATAGCTATAGACAATCCAATTAAATTGATAAACAATATTATGAAATATTTAGACGAGATAAAACTGGTCGACCGCAATACATAGTGTCAGAGAAGTTAATAGAAATTCACAGACAGCAGACACAACAGTCGGGAGAAATAATAAACATGTTGTGCAAATTAGCCACATATAAAATATGCGCATAACATAACACGAATACATGTGAATATGTATGTGTGTATCTGTGTGTGGGTGTTATAGCAGTATTTTATCTATCGAACCAATGGGCACCATATGGCAGATTTCGTGAAAATTTGTACCAGAGTATAAAAAGAGGGCGTAGGCAATCTGTGAAAATGAGTGGAAATTTCAAAAAATAAGCCCAACGCAATGTTCACTAATAGCCAAAAAATTATACATAAAAATGTTTACACACTACACTTGCATGGAATGAATGGAAAAAAAGTGTGGCCCAAATCTACAATGCAAATGGTGTGACTTATTAGTAAACAGCCTGGGGTAAAATAATACGTAATATGTATAGAAGATGCACATCAAAAATAGAGCATGTAGCAGCACAAAACAAAAATAGTATATTTATATATATCATACTCGTATATGTAAATGAGCCATATTTTTTTAGGATTTATATGAGTTTAGATCGCAAATTGTTTGCGTGTTGCCTGCAGCTTACATATATTGCAGTTATCTTTTGTAGTTTTTAATATTTATTCAACAATTGCAGCTATTCGAAAACTAAAGCCTGCACAAAGCAAACTAAAAAACACGTTCAAGATATACGTGCAAAATAATTTGAATTGAAAATTGTCTATCTTGCAGTTGTTGGCGCCGGCCGGAGATAAATATTTGCTGCTGAGCAGCCGCAGGAATTATTAAGTGGCACCAACAAAGAAAATACAATACAGCATAAGTCAGCAGATACTGGAACCAGCACGAAATGCTGAATGGGGTTGATTTGAATACCAACTGGCGCATCTTGATAATAAATGTAGGACTGAGGGAGGTGCAGGGCCCGACTTGTGCTTTCTTTCTTTCTCTCAAGCAATTGCCATTTAAAGTTTTGTGCTAGTTTCCCTCAGTCAAACACACACAGTAGGTGTAGGGGAGATATATGGCTTTATCGATTAAAAAAAAATACATGAAAATTCTTTGTTTCCTTGCCTTATTTTCAAATCAAATTTCTTCTTATTTATGAGCAACAGTTGTTTGTGTCCAATGTGAGTCTGAAAGAAAAAAAAACAACTATTTACTTATTTAAATTCTGTTTACAAGCAGAGTCCAACACATTTGTTGGGATGATGAAGAAAATTCATTTGTCAAATATAACATTATAAACATTTTAAAGTTTATTTTTGACGTTTTAAGAAAATTTCGTTGAAACTATTTCATGTACAAAATAAAATCTTGCTCAACATTTGCAACTATAAAATCACACTTTGTATTTTAAGGGAATCAATAATTCGATTTAATGAAAAAAAAACCAATGGCAAATATATATGTGTCTACATCTATATTCACCAAAATGTTATACTAAATCGGATACTTTTTACACGAATGTTTTTGCTGACTTTCTGGCTCGTACCAAGCAAATATACAGACAGACCGCCACTTGTCAGACCGGCATGTTTTTTTTTGTAGGTCGATGTGTAGACGCCTACGCCAACGCCTTCACTTTGACATATATGAAAGCATATGTATGTATAGGTGCACATACATATATACACATACATGGGCTGGCACTGAGTCGCTCAATTAATTTCGATTGCAGCCTTGGCAGCTGTTCGAAAGTTGTATGAAAACTCGTTACGTAGGTGTAGTCATTCATTTTTTTCTATCCTTTTGGTTTTTCATTTAAATTTTTTGCGGCTGAATCAAAAGAATGATGCCTAATTTATCTCAGTTCTGTGAAAAGTTCCATTTGCCCATCAATTTTCTTTATTTTGCAATTTACGGAATATGAAAAATAATAAATACAATTTTGAACTTTGTTTCATTCAGATCGTAAATATTCAACGATGCGTATTCTGTGTCAACACTCAAAAACAAACTAACCATAACTTTTTTGTACCCCTTTGTTTTTTCAAATTTTATTTTTCTTTTAATGTTTAAGCCTTGTATCTAAAAGTAAACCACGTCACGTCTAGACCTTATGTTATCATAAGTCTTTAGTTTGCTTACAGATTTTATTGTTAATTCTTAAAAATAATAATAATGAAAAAATACTACAACACTAAAACTCAGAACATCTGTATCTTATACTCTCTTCTCAATCTAAATAAAAATATGCCTTGTTTCATGTTCCATAAAAGAAAAAAACTATTTATTTTGCGGCATCCCAAATCACTGACCTCGAACAATATCAGCAAACAAATAGATGATAGACACACCCAAAATAAACGTCAGAGGTGTGATAATTTATGGGCCTCAGGTGTGAAAAGAACCGAATTTGCCTCCAGATGCAGTGTGTGTGTTTATTTGTGAAAGTATCTCAAAGTGTGTTCAATGGCAGCATTTCAACTTGAACTTGATCAAAATGTTGTGCTAGATAATTTAATTAGTTTCAAATAAACAAATGGACTGACAAAGTTGTGAGCAAATTTTGCCTTGAGGTACTAAGACCTTTGTGAGGGGAGAGGGCTGAAATATTTTAGCTTTTAGCGAAATTGTTTGCTGCAAAGTTGGTATTTCTGAATGTCAAAAAACTTTTAATTGAAATTACAATTTAATTTTGTGTGACCTTCATGTAGCGCGCCAGTTTTGTTGAAATGAAGCGTTAATAAAAACGATATTTGTCTTAAGCTATATAGAAAAAATGAGTGTGTTTTTTGCCAAATGACATGGCACAAAAATTTAAAAAGAAAAATACATTTTCAATCCTAATTCAAAGTCAACGTCATTTTTAAAATTAGCCGCAAGACTGTGAGATTTAAAATGTGCAATTTGTTATGCGGAGAATACTTTGCACCTGAACTTGTCAACTAAAAGCGCCCCCACAAAATTATACATACGTATTGACAAATTAATATATATATATATATATATATGTATGTATATATATATATATATATGCTCGGATATCTATTAGTAATGAACAGTTGGAACTTAACATTATTGATGGCAAATTGCTTTAAATGAATGCGGCCAAGAAACAACAGGGAAGTGAATAGTTTGCGTTTTCTGGCCATAGCACTGGGCACACTTCTGTTTAGTTTTAATATTTCTTAAGAGTTTTGGATTTTTGTTGTTTTCGTGACGTCATAAAGAGCTTCCGCTGCTCATATCTAAATTTGTTTGTTTGCAACCTACATTGGCTTTATTTCAGGCGATTTTGGCATTCAGTAAAGCGGGCGAGTCTGTGTTGAATTCTGAATGCCGCGCGTTGGCGTTGGCGTCGACGTTGGCGTCAGTGTCAACGCTGACGTCGATGCTGATACGGGCAGAGGCATTAGGCTAACCTAAAACATTTTCAGCAGTTTCATTAAATATCTCTTGGCTCTTAGGATAAATGGAAAACTGTTTCAAAAATTTGCGTCAGTCGAAAATTAAATTTTGTACGCTAAAGACGCGCACAGCTCAATAGATCTATTTGCATTTTTCATTCAAAACCTACAATGGCTGTAAGTGTTGTTGCACACAATGTTATCCTTTATGGAATACAAACTTTTCCTTAAAAATAAAACTAAAAAATATTATCAGTAATGAATATGCAGTATAAATAAGAATTGTGAAATTTAAGTTTGGGTGCTGAATGTGAATTTATGTTGGAAATTTATTTAGTTATTGAAAATCTGTTCAGTTTTTGGAAATATTCAATTGATATCCCTTAATAAATATGGAAAAATTGTTAATGAAGAGATAAACTTAAGCTAAACAAAAAAAAAGTGATTTATTAAACAAATTCAAAATTAAATTCATTGAAGTTTGGTGTCGGATGTGGACTACGCCAACTAAATAAATGAACGGCTTTGAAAATGGAAAACAAAATATGATTCTAATAAATTTGATAAATTTATGTTTCCACAAAAATACCTTTCAATATTTTTCCTAACAAATATGTAAACTAAGGTCTGTCTGCGAATAATATCGAATTTTTCAAAGTGAATAAAATTCAAGGCATTCACCATGCATTCAGAACTTTATTATACACTCAAAATATTAAAAATGGTAAAATGGGTATATTGAAATTGTATATTAGAGTATAGCTATTATTTACAAAATTTATATGAAATTGACGAACATTTTACAACGGTTTTTGTAATCAATTAAATTACAAAACATTCAATTACAAAGCACGAAATGATTGCTGATTTCATTAAAAATTCTTATTTGATCAAATATTTAAATAGTTCATTACGAACAAATACAGAGGCGACCAACTGCATGTTACAAATTCATTTGTATATATGTAATGAAATACTCCATACAAATATATCCATAATATGCTCTGTGGCCTTGCGCACACTTGTGGCACAGTTAAAGCACTTTCCACGCCCACCTCGGGCAGCCAGTGTGCCATAATTCTTTTTCGTATATGATATTTGCGCCATTTTACTTTGTCGCTTTTGTAAATTAAAATAAAAAATCACTTTGTTGACATTCTGGCCCTGGGCTGTGGCCCCGAATCCCCCCCAGGCCTGTTACACTCGCCAGTCGCATCTGATAAATTATATGCTGTCAGTCGCTGGATCGATGAGAACGAGCCCACAGTCCCAACATATCACTAACCGTTGCTACAGATACGAATATTATATCTTTTTTGTTTTTGTTTTCTCTTTTTTATTTTATTTTGACTGGTGCATAAATTATTATTTTGCAGTTTTCGTTCAACGAATTCAATTTATATTGTATTAATTCGATGATTTTAATGTTTATTTTGTTCTGACCGTTTGCAGAAACAGACCAACAAAGTTATGATATTCATGTACAGTCGCTTTTAAATGATGACTTATTTAAGCCGAAATATTCAATATCGAGTAAAAATCACGATGTACAAGATACATATTTAAAAACAGTACATACAAGTATTGAGCAGAAATAAATCCCTTTTTCATTCTTCTGTCTTCGTTCATCATATTTGAAACGAATGTTTTTTAATAAAATAGTTTTAGTCCCATATGAAGCTTAACAAAAGTTAAGCTCCATTGAGTTTGTTGAGTTAAAAATTGCATTATATTTTTTAATGTGCGCAGAGTATGACATCATTATTTAAAATATTGTATATTTTTGGCTAGCAAGTTTTGTTTACAATTTTTGCAAACAAACTGTTGCACAGCGACGACGATCCCGAAAATTTATTGACCGGCACCTGCCATTTTCTTGGCAACAGTACAAAAACTATAAAAGCGCAAAAGCCAATGTATCGAACTGTAATGCAATTTAACATGAATATTCTATAACACAAAACTTGAATGCAGAAGCCTCACGTTCTTTTCTCAGTCAAATAATCTCTTTAAGCACATTAAAAAATTTAAATGACTGTAAAAAGTACGTAACGTAACATTTTAACCAATTATTTCTGATTGCATTTCCAAAAATATATACCCTCTGTATAGTTGACCAAAGCTAAGATATAATAGATATAAAACGGAAACATTATTGCCATTTACCCAGTTGGCTCCATACTGAATGGTGTTTTTAGTCGCGTGGGCGCCGCATGCACATTTTTATTTCATTTGCTGGTTAATGTTGGGCGGCGACCGCCAATTGGCAGTGGTCCAAATGACAAATTGAAATAATAACAACAATAACCACAACAACAATAAAAAAAAACAACAACAAGAGAACAACGTCAACACTTTTTGGCGCTCAACAAAAAAGCGAAAAAATGAACGTTTATCTTTATGTTCAGATGAAAATTTTTATTTATGCGCGCGGCCGGAAAAAGGCAAACAGCTGAAAAACTGAAAGCAGACAACTGAAAACTGTAAAAAAAAAAAACGGGTCGCCCGCCAGCACAAATTGAGGGTTATTTGAAGGTCACAACTGTCCGTGTAGCCAAAATTATTACGGTGCGAGGCCAGCAGGGAGTGTCAAGTGCACAGAAAGTATAGCGGAATTAATATTTGAACACAAGCAAAATATGATCAGATGAAGCGTAAAAGCAAATATAAAGTATATAATTAAAAATCAAAATTTTTTAAAAAGAATCAGAAATCAGAAAATGAATTCAAATTTTATGAGTGGGTTTTTATTTTCATACTAAGGCAGCATTTAATGCGTACGCAAATATTTTTTAAATGAATTCTATAACAAATATATCAATATAATAACAAGTTTTGAATTAGTAAGAAAAGATTCCGACATCTTTTGATTTATTTTGAAAATATTTACTATTATTGTGGCAAAAGATTTATGCCACTCTAGTTAACAGTACATGAATTTGTATTGGATTGCCATCCTACATATTGCTGTCTCTGATTATATTATTTTAATGACAAAAACTTCAACAATAACAGAAAAGCAGCGAACAAATGTAAAAAGTGAAAAGCGAATTACATATTTGAGATCACACCAACAGACGCAGCAGCAAGTACAACATTCCTGTAAATTAAATTGAAAATTAAACAAAAAGAAAAGCAGAGTAAACTGCACTCATAGTGATGAAAGTATTGGCATTCGATTGGTAAAATTAAATTCGAAGCCACTGGCGAATGCAAATTTATGTGCAATTCATTAAAAAGCCTTCGATTCATTGGCTGCCATGTAAGCGTGTCGCCGCTCAAGTTGAAATGTCGACCAAACAAGCCCATAAATAAATAAATCAATAAATACAAATAATAATACATAAATACATAATGACAATTGGCTAGCAGCGAGCCTTAAATTCACTGGCAGCCTGCAGCTGAATAAATATTCGCAGCTATCCAAGACCATGAAAATGCATCAATGCTGCTCACAATAAAACAAAACCTAGTAAAATTATGATATATAGATTATTCTAGCTATATCTTCAGTATTTTTTTCATTAATTTTTAATAGGCACTTTAAAAAAAATGTTGACATTTCGCGGATTGTTTGGTTTTTGGCAGCGCGGTTTTTCAAATGTATTTTATTTGCACACATGGCCACAAATCAAATGGCAGCTTAAATCCAAATATGCAAGTAAAACAAAAGCCACAACGCAAAATACAAAGCACAATAAATTAGCGCAAATATGCAAAATATTAATGAGTCCTTCCTCCATGCAATTTAAATTGAAATGAATGCATATTTTTCAAGGATTCAATTGTTGAATTTACTCCGATATATACATATATATATATATATATATATATATATATATATTTATATAAATATAAATATATATATATATATATATATATATATATAAATATTAGAAGAGACGCGCTAGTTTTAATTAGGAAAACAGTTAGGTTAATTATATTGGTTATCGTACATACATTGACCAACAAAAACATATAAAATGTACAATATTTTTGGAGTTGAACAAAGAAAAATGATTTAATTTTGAATATAATTTTTTTCCGATGTCTTAAAAAATTGTAATATGCCATACTTTTAAGTATTTCTAAATTAAATTTTTTTGTAAATAATTTAATGATAATTTAGCTGTTGATTAGCTTTCATTGCAATTAACTTACATTTAACATCACATAAAAATATTGTACTAACATATTAGTAGGCAGGACAATTAGTTTGCTTTCTTTTACGACAACAGATATTTGTAAACTCGTAAAGAGTATCGCGCAGTTGTCTTGTAATTAAACAAATGACCATAAGTCCCAGTCGACCAAAAATGTGCTGATTAACTACGCCCTAAATACACACAAATTGACCCAAGCCAAGGAGTAGCAGTTTGAGGCGGACTGCAAGTAAATTTCAATTAAACAGTTAGTGGCTTTCACTGTCAACATAAACTGTCACATAAATTGCTACGGCTCTCGGGAGTCGACTCCAGTTTCGTTGACCGCGGCTTCACTTCACCATTTCACGTGGCGCGCTATTAAAATCGAAATTAATTAATTGGAAAATGAGTGTACTTTTATTCGTTTTTATTTGTGGATTTCTGTTTCGGTTTCTGTTTGTGTTATTGTGTTCGTTTTATATTTCACTTGTTGTTGGGCTGCCACTTGAAGTGGGTGCCGGGCTCGAGCGCAATTTACCCCAGGGACTAAGGCCTTTGTCGGCAATTGGTCCAGTGATGCCTAGTCCCTCTTTACTTTCAGCTTTGTGCACAGCACATTTACCAAGGGAGAAAAAAAAACAAAACACACACAAATTAAGCTCCCATTCTGCTGACTTTCGGCTGAATGCGGACAATCTGCGAGATTTGCTTGTTTATTTTTAGATAATAGACAATAGAAGGCTGATTGAATGCTGGGGAGCAGACCGTGTGGACAAATTGAAATGTTTACCAAATATTGTCTACAATTACAAGAAATTTATTTGTTTGGCACACTTAGCTGATGATATTGTATTTCTCAATTGCAGCCACGCAACAAGGAACAAGAACAGGAGGTGCTCAACTGGATATTCGCGGTCATCGGCGAGAAGGTGCCCAGCGGCCAGTATGAGGATATTCTCAAGGATGGCATTTGGCTGTGCAAACTGGCCAATAAGTTGGCCCCCGGCTCCGTTAAAAAGATTCAGGAGCGCGGCACAAACTTCCAGCTGATGGAGAACATCCAGCGCTTCCAGGCGGCGGTTAAGAAGTACGGCGTGCCCGAGGAGGAGATATTCCAAACAGCCGATCTCTTCGAGCGTCGCAATATTCCACAAGTCACCCTGTCGCTGTACGCCCTGGGTCGCATTGTAAGTGCCTGATTGTTGGATGCTCCGCTATTCTAGTAGGTTGTTAACTTGCTAAATACCTTTGACAGACACAAAAGCATCCCGAGTTCACTGGCCCCACTCTCGGCCCCAAGATGTCCGAGAAGAACGAGCGCACCTTCACCGAGGAGCAGCTGCGTGCTCACGAGGGTGAGCTGAATCTACAGATGGGCTTCAACAAGGGCGCCTCCCAATCGGGCCATGGTGGCTTCAGCAATACGCGCCACATGTAAAACGGCAATTAACACCCTCAGGTATACACGCAGACGCATACACACACATACACCGCCCCACTCAAGCAGCTACACCAAAACCAAATTAGTTAAAGCAATGTTGAACAGTAGAATTCTATTTATATTTTTGTTGGCGGCTTTTATGATTAGCAATGCGAAGAAGCGCAGCGCAGGCCACTCTAAGTGTAATTTACATATTATGAAATAAATAAATTAATTAATTTTAATACAAACATTCAGTTGCTTGCTTCCACGCAACATGCTTTCTTCTTTTTTTTTCTCTGCCCCACACATTGGATTAGCATTATTTTGCTGTTAATTAGGAAAAAACACGCGACAGCCACAGACTCAGCTGCCACAGAGATTAAGTGGTTTTGCTCACACCACAACTCTACCCTCTGCCCCTTCTCTCTCAACCACAACGAACCACTGCATCCATCCAAATAGAGTCATACCCCAACATGCACCTTTATTTGTTTGTCTTTGCCACGACTGCTCGTTGCCCACCTGAGATTACACAAATTACAATTTCAACGCCTGGACTGACAGCGATAAGCAAAATAAATGTCAAGGTCATTTCTCTCTATGTGTTTAGAGCTATCTGTGTGCCTGTGTGGGTGTACAGATACACAAGGCATACCTTTAGAGACAAAATGATTGTGTACACAGAAAGTTAGTTCAAGTTGCTCCTTGAAATTGGGAAATTAAAATCAGCTACAGCACAATGCAAATCTTCAAAATGCATACAACACAATACATTCAAGATATGAAATATAAAAAATATTTAGAATATTAAATACATGAAAGAAAACAGATTTATGATTTTTATTTTATTGTTTATTTTATGCATGTTTGAAATGTAATATATTTATTATTGTTTCTAATATATACAGTTATTACATATGCTTATTTAGGTTTACTACTGATTTATATGTATACTATATCATTATATCATTGTAATTTAAGACATATTTGTTCAAAATAGCAGTAAGAATCTATAATCGAATCTACTTTAGTAAAGATTATAAACTCTTCTTTTGTACCAGTGTAAAAACACACCTCCCATAGTTATACACGCATCTTTTGAAAGGGCTATACAAAGGAAAAACCACAAACTACGAATTAAATGAAGGTGACAAAACAAATATTCGAAGCCAGAGCAAATGTGAATTTTTTGCTAGACAGATAAATGGAAATGGGAAACGACGCCTTATGTCGACTTAGGTCCTCAGCGGTCCAATTCTGTGCGTCCAAATGTGTTTGGGTTTATTTCAATGAGCCAACAAATCGATGGAGTGGGATCCTCAGACTCCACACACATTCGCATGTGTGTGTGTCTGTTTGAGTTTGTGAGCGTGTGAAGATTGTGTTTAATTTCAACTTGTCAAGGGGAAAAGGGAGCGAGCGCTGCGATTATATTAAATGAAATGGTCACTTTGACAGTCAGTGACAGGTGCTTTGTATGGGTGAGTATGTGGTTGTGCTGTGTGTTCTTGTGTGTGTGTTGCCTGTCAGCTGGTTGTTTTCTTCTGCTGCTTCTGCAACGTACACTTAATTTTATTTATGTTGACAATTGTTGTAACAAATATGCACGCCATATATACATATCTATACTTATATATACACATATACAAGATACACACAAAGAATGTGGTGCAGGCACACACACTCGAGCACAGTCGCATGGTGATAGAGAAATGCTGATTGTATTACAAATAGTTTTTCCGCGCTTTTCCCCCACAAAAGTATGCTCTAATAATGTAATTTATTGGCAGCCAAAGTTGACAATGACAATTGCTGACATTCTCCATTGGTAGGTGTTCTGCCTTTGTAGAGTTAGAAAGCGTGGCATGGGCGAGCAGTTTAGCTATTATTCCATTGCATTTGTTTTATTTATATTTATCGTGGTCACAATGATTATTTATTGTTATTAGTATTTATAGCTGTGACATTCAGCGCTTCAACTTCTATGTTATTACAATTGGTTTTTTGTTTTTGCGCAGTGATTATTTATTTCATTCTATTTATATACATTGTTCAGTAATTTTTTTAATTGCACAGCAAGTGGATTGTGTTGATAAATATATAATAACATTTACGTTTTAATTGCTGATTTATTTATGGTTTTTCGATTGTTATCTTGAAAGTTTTTTTTCTGTTGTTGCTTAATGTGCATTTTATTTATTTTGTATATTCCCAAGTGGCTTAAATATTTGTTCTAACGGAGCACAGAAACTGTAGCAAACGTTTTACAGACCCTCTTTAAAGTGGTAGGTGTAGGTATGGAATTGGTCTCTTGGCTAAATCAAGTATTATGTCATTTGAGTTTATTTCGGTGAATCCATCTATCAGATGATTTAAATTTGCTGTGTTTGCTTTCAGTGTTGAAATTTCGCTTAGTATTAATTTCAAGCAATTTCGTTCCCTCCCTTTGACTTGGCTTATTTAATATTTGCGTTAGAGCTTATCTCTACACAGTTTAGCTAATTTCACTTCGCCTTTTAGGATTCCGTCTGTTTGCGCTGCTTGCACAAACGCTCCAGTTTTATTTGCTAGCCATAATTTCTAACAAATTCCACAGCAACACAAGCCACATAAAAAATAGAAAACGCCACAAATAGGTAAATCGAGCAAGCTGTGCAGGAGAAGAGTGCGGCTGGGCTGGGCTGGGATGGGAATCAGGCTAAAGTTGGTGGTGGCAACAACAATAACAATGGCAAATACAGCTGTTTTCTTTATTATTATTTGGCTTAAACATGCAAGGGCATTTATTTTGTTGCCGACCACATTGCTGTTGTTTTCGGTGATGCGGTTTGTTGCCAAACGCAGAACTTGCACAACATATTTCTACCTAATTGCTGAAACTTTGTAACAATTTACAGCTGCAATGCAGTGGCTAAAGTTAAGCTACAGACGATGCCGATACACCTTCTCACTTTCCGCACTCTCTCCTCCTCATCTCCGTCTCGGAAGTAAATGAAACGCTTTATATCGACCATAAGGTCGGCAGACGATGTTACTCAGGTTTAAGTATCCAAGGCGTGCATAGTTCTAATGCGGATTGTGCCCTCCCCCACCCTTTCACTACAGGTGACCTGCTTTTGTGATCTGCACAAAAAACGACACCAAACGGAATTTCGGCCACAAGAACACCTCAAACATATTTCATGCTCAACTGCACTCCGCTCTGTTATAAGCAAAGGCAACGTGGCAAATGACACGAAACCTAGCGCTTCTATCTGCATATTCTCACTCCCTGTCTCTCTTTGACTCTCTCTCTCTCTCTCTATCTCTGTATGTGTCTGTATTTCCATCTCTATCTCTGTCAATGAGCAACCCTGCAATAATTGCCAGCAAACTGCTTGGCTGCATTCATAAACAAAGCTGAAGCTCAAAGCCAGAACCGCAACCAAAACCGCAGCCATCGTCGAAGTCATATTTGTTCACGTTGTTGTTTTTCTTTTTGCTGCTGTCAGAACAGCTACAACTTGGCCAAAGTCTAGTTGAGAGCCATAGCAACAAAACCAAATACTGTTCAACAGCAGCAATCCGCGTAACAAGTGACAGTGCTGCCCTTGAACACCTGACTGACTACAAGATGCCAATTATGATGCGAATGGATTTATGAAGTATTATTTAAATAATAATTATTTTGCGGGAAATACAGATATTTCCCTGAAAGGATTGGATACTGCAACAAACTTCAAATTAAAATGAAAGCAGTTTCTATAAAACAGAAGTTGGCAAAACTGTATAAGTTGTTTGTTTGAATGCTATAAATTTGCATACAGCTGCAGTTTGAGTAGCCACTGCAGTTTAAATGGAATTTAGCTAACCTAAGTTATATATGAAATAAATATTTAATGTTCAATTAGTGTAATTACAAACTGATTACTTTTATGAAATTATGGAGCACTCACAACCACTTAATGAGCATTTTAAATGTATTCCCTTATAATCCTTAATATGACTTTTATAAGATAGTTATAGGTTGAAGCAGCTATCACCATGTATATATAGAATTAAAAGCCGATAAATGTACAATAGACAAGTATGCTAAATAAACAAAATATTCTTGACGATATTTTGACCAATATATATGTAGGGGACGTATAAAAAGAGTCAAATACTTTTTTCACTCTTATCATTCATTTTGTCTCTTGATACATAATTTGTATTTTTTAATGTACTATTTCAACCATTCAATAGGTTGATCAACATTCCCAATATAAAAATCGTACTAGTGAAAAAATGGTTTACTAATATTATACATACATATATGAAAGTCTAATATTTAAAATTAAGATTAACAAATTAACTGGTGTTCTTATATGTTTAAACTTTTAACCTAAGCGTAAGTTGTTCAAAACTTAAATTGAGCTGATATTTATTCGGATTGTTTGCTAATATTTAAACTATGCGATTGCCTCACTCCTAAGTGGTGTACACACTCACAACACACAACGACACACACATGCTCGTGTGCATGCAGATGCAAACTGAATGAGATTACATCATATGCATGGACTTCTCTCCCCAGCAAGGACATTCATTAAAATACGCGCAATTCTCTGGCTAGCAAACGTTAAGCAAATGAAAATGATTTGTGCTTGCATAAGCTTTGTGAATTTGCACTACAAATTGAGTTGTTGCACGCACACACAGGCACACACATGCACTCACAGGTACACACACACCTGTTCGTGAGCATGGTTGTAATCTCTTGTGGCATTCTGCTAGAAACTGCCACTGCGCGCTGGTTTTTCTAATCCTCTTGCCCCGCATTGGGGCTTTCCAGTTGAGGAGTTTGCACATTTGCCGTTTGTCTAATGCCAATAAATCATAAAATACTTTTTCCTGAGCATATTAATAATCCAGAGACAGCTTATGATTTGATTTATGCCATGGATTTTTTCAATAACCGAATATTCAGCATTTTGACTTTAAGGTAAGAGCTTAAGAGATCGTTTTTTTTGTTTTTTTTTTTTTTTTGTTTTTTTAGCTACAAGTGTCAATTTAATGGATTTATTCTTTTTAGTCGTCTACTTCAAACCATTAATATGGATTTTCAGAATGAATTAAGCAATCACAAATTTTAATAACAGCGATGAGATATCTTTGCAATGCAGAATTGTAAAGGTACTTGCTTTCATAAAATCCCCATTAAAGTTTTCTTTACTCTTTTTACTTTAATTTGTCATTCACACAATAATATTGGTTTTAAATTGCTACT